GGAGGGGGCTCAGGGCAGGGGGTTGAGGTGCAGGAGGGGTGCAGGGTGTGACAGGGGGCTCAGGGCAGGGGGTTGCGGTGCAGCGGGAACTCAGGGCAGGGGGTTGGGGTGCAGGATGCAGAAGAGGTTCCCAGCCAATGGGAGCTTGGGGGCGGTGCCTGCAGGCAAGGGCAGCATGTGGAGCCCTGTGCCTTCCCCCCTTCCCCAGGGGCCTCAGGGACGTCATGCCGGCTGCTTCTAGGAGCGGTGCGGGGCCCGCGGCACCACGAAGGTGGCAATCCCGTGGGCCAGATCCAAAGCCCTGACAGGCCAGATCCGGCCCGCGGGCCATAGTTTTCCCACCCCGATGTATAGCCTATCCTTAGTACAAGAGACAGCAACAATTGCCTGCAAACACAAATCCATAAAAACTGTACTAGGCAAGTGGCAAGGTTCTCTAGGAAATGCTTCCCTCTTATCCAGGTTGTGTCCTGTGTATTTTCAGTGGTGAATTTAATACAATATAGTTTTCAGATATAAGTTGTCAGCTCCCAAAGTTAGACTGCTCAGTCACTACTCTGCTCACTGTCTCATGCAAAACAGACTCAGGAAAATAACCCCCCAAAAAGTGTGGAATCTGGAAGTGATTTAAACAGAAGTATTGGAGCTATTATTAAAAATGGAATAAAAATCAGAGCAGATTTTCTACCTGGTTCTGCTCCCTTTGCACTGGTCAGGAGCATACGTGGAGAAGAGACTGGTCACAAACCCCTCGCTATCCTTAGTGAGCATAGAGCTGGCTACACTCCCTTCCTCAGAGCCCGCAATGCAGGGGATATGGACTAAACACAATATGCTCCAGCAATCTCCAATTGGTGTTTGGTCTCACTGAATAATGAGGTTGCCATCTGCTGGCAAGGCGTCCTTTAGGAACCATTGCCAGCTCACATGTTAGAGCATCCCACAGGCTGCTCTATTTTACACCCTGGGCTGACTGGAGAATCAGGGCATCATAGCTAGCTCATGGATCATCCCCTCCCTACTGCACCCAGTGGGAGCTGGTCATGGCAGAGCTCTGGCACTTTATGTTTCCATACAGTCAGGTTGTTTTTATAGTTAATCTCTACTCTTTGATTTTTAGAAGCTGATGAAATGTTGTCGTTCAGTCATTTACATATAAAGGGCCCATGTATGCTACTAACTGTAAGGAGCACTGTGGAGAGTAGGCATCAAAGGACGAACCATCCACAAGACCCAGAGTGCCAGAACCTGCAGCCCTCTGATTGGCCAAGTGCCCCTTCTTAACCCCAGGGATTGTTCAGGCAACCATACAGACCTTGGCCTGCTACAGTGCCAGACTTTGACTCCAGCCTGACTTCTGCCCTGATTCCTGCCACTAAATTCTAGCCCGGTGCTGCTCTGCTCTCCAGTCTCCAACTCCAGCCTGACTGACCCTGACTCTTGTTTACAGGATCTGGCCTTGTGATGCCTGGGTCAGGCACTAGGTGGCCGACAGCAATTGAAGTGCAAAGTCGAGGAGAAACCAGGACTGGAAGCCAGAGTCTAGCATTGGGGTGGGCAAACTATGGCCCATGGGCCAGATCTGACTCATCAGGGTTTTGGATCTGGCCCCTGGGATTGCCATCGCCATGGCACTCCCGGAAGCGGCCGGCCCGACGGCCCTGCAGCCCCTGGGGCAAAGACAGGGGGGCAGAGGGCTCCACATGCTGCCCTCTCCTGCAGGCACTGCCCCCAGTAGCTCCCATTGGCTGGGAATGGGGAACAGTGGCCAATGGGAGCTTCAGGGAAGGTACCCGCAGGCGAGGGTAGCGCACAGAGCCCTCTGCCTCCCTCCATCTCCCCCAGGGGCCGCAGGGACTTGGTGCTAGCTGCTTCTGGGAGCAGCGTGGGGCCAGGGTAGGCAGGGAGCCTGCCTGGCCCCGCTGCATGCTGCTGCCACCCTGGAGCCACTCCAGTTAAGTGGTGCCAGGCCGGTACCCGCACCCCAAACTCCTCCTGCACCCTGTGCCCCAATCCCCTACCCTGAGCCCCCTGCTGCACCCCGCACCTCTCCTACACCCCAACCCCCTGCCGCACCCCTCCTGAACCCCAACCCCCTGCACTGAGCCCCCTGCTGCACCCCGCACCGCTCCTGCACCCAAACCCTCTGCCAAGCCCCCTGCCACACCCCGCACCCCTTCTGCAACCCAACCCCCTGCCCTGAGCCGCCTGCCGTACACCTCCTGCACCTCAACCCCCTGCCCTGAGCCCCCGCCACACCCTGCACCCTCCTGCACCCCAAGCCCCTGCCCTGAGCCACCTGCCGCACACCTCCTGCCCTGAGCCCCCAACCCCCTGCCCTGAGCCCCCTCCCACACTCCGCACCCCCTGCTCCACCCCAACCCCTTTTCCTGAGCCCCTCCCTGCATACCACACCCCCTCCCACACCCCAACTCCCTGCCCTAGCCCTACATTCATGGCCCTGCATGCAATTTCCCCACCCAGATGTGGCCCTTGGGCCAAAAAGTTTGCCCACCCCTGGTCTATCACAAGCAGGGCCTGGAACAGAGACAGGCAGACACTCTGTGTTGTTGTTCAGACAGCTCCCCTTCATGACTTCCTGATTTAAGTACTGGTATGGGCAAATCAGAGGGCTATGAGGGTCTTGCTGGGCAGTGTGTTCTGCCAACTCCAGCCTCGCAACTAAATGCTGCTGCACCAAATGTAGTGGAGAAACTATTTGACATGCCTATTAGGGTCTCTCTTGCCTTCCCCCAAACCCAGCCAAGCAACATAAACAGATAGCAATCTTTAATGGCCTATGGACATCCAAACCTTATACACATTATTAGCAGAGATTTGGGACCTAAGCTACTCAGCTCCCATCTTGGTCCTTGTAGCTGGCTGACCCTGTGCTCGGGCTCAGCCATAGTAGTTTTGAGTCTCTTGCCCTGGGCTCCCCTCCAGGAGCCCCCACGCCTAAGCAATCTTACTGCTCCCAGCAGTTCAGCTCGCTCCTGGAGTCGTTCCAGAGCCCAATTTAAAGTCTCCTTGTCTCTAGTCGCTGCCAGCGCTTCCCAGGTCCCACCGCAGGTTTCTGACTGGAAGAAGTCCTCTAGAGCCTTCGCCCATA